TGGTTAATCTCCAAGTAGTAGGTATATAGTTTAAAAGCACATAAGCATCAATAAAGATCAAAAATTGGTCCAGTACAAAATTAATGTGAGTAATAACTCCTCTCCAAAATGAGCTTACAGCTGGGCATGACCATACCATATCACTATGAAATGCAACAAGAGATTCACCGCACCAATATTTAGATGATTTGCTCAGACGGTTTCTTATTTTATTTTTATTAAATAAACATCAAACATAGACAACATAAACCTAACACTACAATAGAATACAATTACATAATACACCAGTGCTACCTTCACTCTCAGGGCTAGTATTAATAATATTTTAATATTTCATTCAATCAATTTTCTCTCCAAAAATTGTTTCTTCCCCCAGTGTATACCCCTTCCCTCTCCAAAATACATATTCTAGAAATACATTCCATGTTTTCTTAAAATCATTATTTTTGATAAACTTATTTTCATATAACATGTCAGTTTATCATTAATTGCCATATCCCATAATTCTCTATACCATTCCTCTAAATTAATCATTTTTTTCCAATTTCTTGCAAATATCAACCTTGCTGCTGTAACCATTATTACAATTAAATTCTTATTTTCTTTCAGTAATTGATCCTCCTTGACCATATTTAATAAGGCCATTAACTGGGACATTTGAATATTTAATCCATTTATTTCCCTTATTTCATTAAAAAATTGCTCCCATTCTTTCTTATTTCACGTAACCACCACATATGTAAATATGTCCCCTTCTCTTTTTTACACCTCCAAAATAATGATGATAAAATTTTATTTCTTGTATTCAGTTTTGCCAGTGTTAAATACTACCTCCATATTACCTTATAGCAATTTTCCTTTATTACAGACATATTCTTCATAATTATTTTATCCTACTCTTCTCCTATTGCTTCTTTATCCAAATCATGTTTCCACTGTGCTTTTAATCCTTGTGTATCCTGTTCGGCCTGAATTAGTAATTTAGTAATATAATTTATACATTGATCAAGATTGTTTTTATTTTTGCTTTTGTAGAACAGATGTGGCTGTATTGGTTTGTAGTGTCGGTTTTTAACCAAACTGTTTTAATTGATGTTGGAAGCCACTTGGAGACTCTTGCAGAATGCGGACGGCATAGGAGTCAAATAAGTAAATAAATAAGTAAATAAGTAAATAAATAAACAAATAAATAAATAAATAAATAGACTTACAGTTCCCTTTCTTTTGGTCTTTTCCTCTAATTTCAGTCTTTTTTCAATAATCTCTTCAAATTTTGTCATTTTTCTACTTTTCCCTTCCTTACTTTTCCATTCCCTTGTCCACCTTTCTATTTGGAGCATGTCAAACCATGAAATCTCCTCTCCTCCCAAAATCTCTTTTACATTTCATTTATCTTTCAACTTCTCCATCCAGTCTTTTGTCCTATTTATACCTTTATCTGTTAATATATTTTTAAAATTGTAAAAAAAAAAAAATTTCTGGAAAGTTCTTTAAATCCAAAACTTGGGATAAGGGAGAAATCGGTGGGCTCAATATACCCCTAAACTTTTTCAGCTTTCTAACATGTTTTTAAGGAAAGGGTTTTAATTTTTTAAATCTCTTTTCCAATATTTTCCTTAAACAATATACTTTCAATTTTTTCTTCCTTACCCTGCATTTCTATTTCTGTCCGAATTAAATTTTTAATACTTTTAATAATATCTGGGATATGTCTGAGCTGATTTGCTGTGTAATATAATTTTAAATTGGGTAATCCAAGACCTCTATTTTTTGTGTTACATACCATAATTTTTATTGATCCTCACTTGTTTATATCCACTACAATAACAATTTATCATTGTCTGCCATTCTTTCAGTTGTTTTTCTGTAATCTTTATAGGAAGCATCCAAAATATAAAATTTAATTTAGAAATAATTTTCATTTTTACATAGTGCTACTTCACCAAACCAGGAAATGTTTAATTTCTTATATTCTCTTATCCATCCAGTTATCTCCTTTTTCAATCTATCCAAACTTATTTTAATTATATCTTGTAAATTCCAGATAATATTAATCCCTAAATATTTAATAACATTTCCCAATTTTCCTTCAAATATTATTTTCATTCTTCTTTTCTCCTCATCCAAGTGATTAGACGCTTCCTGAGAAGATGTTGTGGTGCCCAATATATTCAAAACATCCTCTTTTGTTGGATGAGTTGTAGCTTAAGATCTAGAAATATCTCAGGTACACTGGTGAGTGCCATCTACCATTGATTAGGTAAAATAACATGATTCATTTTCCTGTATCATTCATCTCTGAGACCTTCTGTATCATATTTATTAACTGACAGCATAAGAATATAAGAACATAAGAAGAGCCCTGCTGGATCAGGCCAAGGACCCATCTATTCCAGCTTCCTGTATCTCACAGTGGCCTCACCAGATGCCTCTGGGAGCATGTGAGACAACTAGATATCTGTCTCTTGATAACATTTCCCCTGCATCTGGCATTTTGAAGTACCTTCCTTTTAAGCCTGGAGATTATACATCCCCATCATGGCTTGTAACCTCCAATGGACTTTTCCTCCAGGTATCTGTCCAATCCCCTTTTAAGGGCATCTAGGCCAGATGCCCTCAGCACATCCTGTGGCAAGGGGTTCCACAGACTAACCACACATTGGGTAAATAAATATTTTCTTTTGTCTGTTTTCTCACTCTCCCAACACTCAGAGTGGATGTCCCCTGGTTCTGATATTATAACAGCAAATAGTTATAAAGAAACAATGTAAGTTTCTTTCCTTGGACTGATGCAATAAGCATTTCCAAATGTACTGAAGACTCTGAAGCACAGAATGCTGCCTGACCGTATTCAGCTAAATAGATGCTGTAACTCTGCTTATTGCCATTCAACTGAAGCTGGACAATCATACCAACTTCTCAAGTAGGAAAATCTGCTAAAGTAGGAAGAGTTGGCACCTAGGTTTGTAGCTGGGTCTAGTCTCAGTCTCTGCAACCATGCTACGCAGTCTGCTGTGTGTCAATAGTTGTTTGAAATTAGACGGTTGGTCTAATTAGTCTGGCTAATCAAGGCTTTGGGGAGTCTAGTATTGTTGTTCAAAATGGGTTGTAGATTATTGATTATGTGTTTGAGTGGTTTCAGTTGTAAGCTGAAGGTGACAATTAATGGTGTCACCCACCTGTTCAGTTACATAAAATTATGGAACATATTTTTAAAAGTGGAAGTTAATAATGGATGGGAATTACTGGGAAAACGTAAGAAGCAGCAAGAGCAAAATGTCAGTACCAGGGATTGAACCTGGGTAAATTCTGCATGTTAGTTTTTCCCTCAGTTGTGGACTTTCCGTAAAAGAGACTATGACCCACATTGCTAAAGCTTTCTTCAAAACTGAAAGCTAAAAATAGGCTTATTTTGGAAAAAGATAAAAAGCTCTTTGTGTTTCAAGATCGGTGGTTCAGGAAGGTAATATATCACCTTAGTGATATATTACTAAGCTAATTTTCTTGAACTGGCAGTTACAGCGCAAGCCATATCTGCTACTTGGCTGTGAATTGTGGACCTCTTAGAATTCAAGCACTGTTGGATTTCTTTTACAAGGAATACTTTTCTGCTCCAGTAGCTTTAGGAAATAAAGTTACATACTGTATATCAAATGTTTTCACACTCTGCTATTTTGGGACATAAAAATAAACGCCACACACAACTTATATTCTCAGTATAAATGGAATGGCTGAAGCTCTCATAGACGTTTTCTAAAAGGTTGGATAAACCAGCCCCCTAGCATTCCACTGTAAGGGAACAGAGATCCCTTTGAAACACTGAAAACCAGAAAGAAAACCAGGTTCTATGAATCTATTTTTTAATGTTTGTATATCTTCTTTTCCTGATAAATATCCCAACAGGTTTTAAAAAGGAAAACTGGCAAACCACAGACTTCCAATAGTTCATGCCAATTTTTTTTTAGACATTATGAGAGATTTGCACTGCACATTCCATAGCCGGAAAGCAAGCCTGCTACTTTGGCTGCCCCATTTTCTCAAAACTAAGTAGGATTTAATGGAATACTCTGAAATGCCTAAATCCAGATATCCTATTTATTTACTGCCTCACATTCACTCTGCAGTAAACACTGGGGGGGAATTTGGGCTAGGGGGCTAAAAATCCTAGAATCCCCCAACACACATGGCAGACGAGTCTAGGAGTTACAGCATCTCTAAAAGAACTTTCCCATGCTCTGCTTTACACATACAGACATGTGTGGAAATAAGAGGACAAACAGCTCTATATTCCCAACTGCTTTAAAGAGAAAGTCTGTGAAGTGCTATACTGTACTTGATCAGCAAACCTCTGGGTTAACACAGCTCTGACCGTGCTCAGGAACAGAGATGAAACAGGGAATTTTTACAATCTGGACCTAATGGTTTCATTGGCCATAGAGAAGACTGTAAATAACTATGTGCATTATTACTTCAGTTGTCAAGCACACAAGTGAATCTCTTATATTCGTCCCTCTGCAACCACTGGCATTCCATGTTTTTAACAACTTCTGCATTTCTTCTGTGAGAAAGAATAGTGCCGCAACAACAACCCACAAACAGTAGGCCACAATGTTCTCTTTAAAAACCTGTTACACCTGTTTCACATTCCACCAAAAACTGAATGTAACAGTAGGCCACAATGTTCTCTTTAAAAAGCTAACTGTTACACCTGTTTCACATCCCACCAAAAACTGAATGGTTAGTTGATATCAAGCGTCTAATATAAGGGTAAGAAACACGCAGCCCTGACAGTGTTACTGGATTACAACTTCCATGATCTCTCATGATCACGTATGCTGACTAAAACTGATGGAACTGCAGTTCAGGAAATTCTGGACGGCCAGTAGTTTGGCCACCCTTGATCTAATAGGAGGGAGCTTCAGGCAGTGGGCAGTTTGTAATTCATTATATAACTAATAACTTTTAAAAGCAGCTTTCCAAGTGCTGGAAAATAAGCTTACCTTGTCCAAGATATATTTATTGAGATATGGCATGTACCCCTGACTTGATACTGGACCATCATCATCATCTTTAAAATGTTCCTCCAGTGCCACAGGATCATGGGGGATACCAAGCACAGTGTATAGGTTGTGAGAGAGGACCTGGGAGAGTAAAAGAGAATCCGGTTTTGAGAACATCATAGGACCAAACAGGAAATAACAAGGGCAGCTATGTCTTCTGTCACATATTTGCTATGTTTGCCAAAGCAGAGAGTCAGGTGAGGAAAAGTTCAGCCGAACTGGAGTAGATTGGGAGATACAGTACGAGTGTTAACGGTACCTTAGTTCATTTAAATCATGAAGAAATCAAACATGCAAATAAAAAGCTTGACTGCCAATAACTATTTGATAAAAGATGTCTGGCTTTTCATAACACATAACATTTTGTTGTGCCTTTACATATAGTGTACTATGTGACATCTTAATGCTTAAATAATACAATATTTCAGCAAAAAGAGAGTATCATATATTTTAGTGGAATTGCAGAATACAGACTTCTTAACTCATACATCTTAACAGAAAGCCCGAAACTCTTGTAAATATATATACAGTATAAACTTTTTTTTTACTCAAACCAAAACCAGAAAAGGATTTACTCAGAAGTGCAGGCACTGCCATCAAGTTAACTAATATGTTTCAGACTACTGTACAGACGAACATCACTAAGCGAGGCACCACTGTACAGACTTTTTGGTCAGTGTGCTTGATTCAGGAGTGCTTTAATGCCTTTGATTTCCAAGAAAAAAGATGACTGGAGGTGCCGCTTTATTTAGCAGTTCTGCAGCTGTGCATCACCAGGTGTATGGTTTTTTCCCCCTCCAACATGGCTCCTATGCTTTTAACAGCCATCTTACAAGCAAGAGATTCAATAGATGAAACTTGCAACATTCACTAGATCTATGTTATAGAAAGTATTTGCTACTAAATGCTAGCTGTCATGCAGCCATTTTGGCATAAGTGTTTTTCAGGAAGAAAAATACGGTAATTCAATGAAAGGAAATTTAGTTGCTAATAATTTACCTTCAAATGTAAATATGAGAAGTAGGGGAAACCTATTGCACTGAATGTCTTAGTTCCGCTTCTCCATCCCTATCACTAGATATACCCACACAAAACAAACAAGTGCCCAAAATACTACTGCAAAATACCATTTTCATGATGGCATAGTTTTCATGACTTGTGGGTGAGTCCACTGGGCAACCAGTTGAAAGCTCCATTGCACAACTAGAGGACTATGAAGTGTGTGAAGAATTGCTGGCAAATTGTCCCGTTACTTATTTGATTGCTGTTAACATAGTCATGTAATTTAGTAGGATTTTGGCCATAACTTCCCCTTATGTAATTAACCAATATCATCTGAAACTCGCTCTGTTCGTCTTTCACGTCTCAACCAGAACAATGTAGTTATTGAGTGCTCAGCTGTTGGAGGGCAAATAATTTTTAACAATATAGAATTCTCTCCTTTGTCTACTAAAGAGCATTTCTAGAACTGATGTGCCATGTTGCAGACATTTTTTCTGCAATAGATCGGTAAACTGTTTGCCACAGGTGACCCCAGCTTGATTTGGTACAACTGGGGGAAACTGTTTGCAGAAAGGCAAGTTGGATATTCTGAATAACCAAGATGATTAGGTGGTTAAATTTAGATAGAAGGAAGATTCCCTAGGAATGCATTCATGTTTGTTGGAAAATTACTGCCATCCAGGGCCTTAATTTTTCACATGAGAATCAAGACAAATGTGAAGTACAGGTGGAGGGGACAGGATTGCAGCTGGAGATTGATGAACAAACAGTTAAGGAATACCTTATTACCTTGAATAAATTGAGATCTCCAGGACTGGATGAACAAGACTATTGAAGGAACTGACTGAAGAATTCTCAGAAGCCCTGTTTATTATTTTCTTGAAATTATGGGAAATGGGTGAGGTGCCAGACAATTGAAAAAGGGCTAATGTTGTCCCTATCTACAAAAAATATGAAAAAAGGAACCTGGAACTACAGAACAGTTAGCCTGACATCAATCCTAATGAAAATTCTAGAACAGATTATAAAGCAGTCACTATGCAAACACCCAGAAAACAAAGCAGTAATAACTAGAAGCCAACTTGGATTTGTCAAGAACAAATCCTGGCGGACTAATCTGCTCTCAATGTTTGATGGGGTAGCCTCCCTGACAGACATAGGGAGTGCTGTAGACATTGTCTATCTTGACTTCAGCAAAGCTTTTGACAAAGTGTCCCATGATAATTCTGATTAACCAATTAATTAGGTGTGGGTAGGATACAACAACTGTCAGGTTGTTGGCTACAGAATCAACCCTTTTCAAACTGGGAGTAGGTAACAAGTGGGGGTGCCCCTAGGCCCACTTCACGAAGGATGCCAACAAACTGGAACAAGTTTAGAGGAGGGCAACAAGACCGATGAGACAGCTGGAAACCAAGCCTTATCAGGAAAGGCTGAAAGAATTGGGCATGTTTAGCCTTGAGAAAAGAAGACTGACGGGAGATATGATAGCACTTTTCAAATACTTGAAAGGCTGCCATATAGAGGTAGGGCAGGATCTCTTTTCAGTCATCCCAGAGTGCACGATATGCAACAATGATCTCAAGTTACAGGAAGCCAGATTTCAGTTGGCTATCAGGAAAACGTCCTAACAGAGCAGTACTGTATGGCAATGGAACCATTGAGAGGTGGTGAGTGGTCCAACACTGGAGGCATTCAAGATAAATTTAGACAAACACTTGGCAGATATCCTTTGATATACTACTGCAGTGTATTCCTACACTGTGGTAAGAAAGAGCAACAGAGGCCTCCAAATTAGCTGGAAGCCACAGAACTCAAAGAGGGCCATAATTCATGATGAATTAATACCATGATTGGGTTTATGGGGAAAAAATCAAAGTAGCTAATATATAAATTTTTAAAAAATCACAAAATATTAAATTTACTGCAATAAATCAAAGCTCCAATCCAAAAAAAGCAACAACCCAATATTAACAGCAAATGGCATGACATACACATATTTTTCCATGTATAAGATGCCCCCTTTTTAAACCCAAAATTAAGAAATCAATATTTTAAACATAAAACAGAACAAACAGAACACATTTTTATTTAGTAATTAGGTAAAATTTACATACCAGTACTGTCATATTATACATCACACTTTATTCAGCCTCTAGGCTCAGAATGCTTCTGAGCACTGTCTACATGTCCCCAAGTTATACAAATGACCAGTAACTGGCAATAATTCTGGAAAAAAATATCGGACAACTTTAGGTGATTCCAAACCTCTTCCATGACAGCCATGTGTCTACATATGAAATACATACACCAAAATCCTATTGTCATTTTACACTGATGTAACACAAATGGCATAACCTATGGCAGCAAGCTGCTGCAAGAAGTCAGCATAGACATTGCTGTGCTCTGGGCCAAGCTATTCAGCACATAGAGATAAAGGCTACACTAACTTAACTTGGGAGAGTTCACTGCCAAAAGTTATACTGTTTGCATTACGCTTGTGGGTATAATTAATATGATTTTGCTTTTGTGTCACAACTAATGGCAGCACTACAGAAAATGCCCCTTTTCTCAAATATGGGACAGCAAGTGGGAGGGAGGAGCATAGTACTTGAACCCTTTCCTATTGTTCTGTTTCTTTAACCGAAATGCCTTCTTAGATCAGTGTGACACAGAGGAAAAAGGACATCTTTAACCGAAATGCCTTCTTAGATCAGTTTGATACAGAGCAGGAAAAAGGACTGTTAATGTCCCTGGACAAGGAGGGAAGGAATAATACAGTGGTACCTCGACTTACAAACATCTCTACTTACAAACATTTTGAGTTACGGATGGCTCCATTCGCAAAATTTTGCTTCGGCTTGCGAGCGCATTCGCAAAATTTTGCTTCGGCTTGCGAGTGGAGCTTCAACTTACGAATGGAAAAAAAACCTTTCCTGCCCTTTTTTTTTTTTTACCTAAGTTCATCTTAGGTCAAAAGAAAAATGTAAAAAATTCTCCCCCTACCATTCCCCCTAGTGGTAGAGTACAGATTAACCGGCTTTGCATTAGTTCTTATGGGAACTAATGCCGCTACTTGCAAACAGCGCCTTGACATAATAATGAAAAACAGCCGGAAGGGATTAAATGGTTTTCAATGCATTCCCATGGGAAATTTTGCCTCGACTTACTAATATTTCGATATACGAACACCATTCCAATACGGATTAAGTTCGTAAGTCGAGGTACCACTGCTTGTTATTTTTTTGACGATGTTAAATATGTATTCATATATTTGTAGGAGGTGAAAAACCTTGGATCAAGTTTTGAGGAAGATTTTATCTCATTTTGAACTTACATATGAAGTGGATGCCTGTCTTTCCACACTCCTTTCCATCAAGATCTGACCGGTTGCATGCATGTGGTGTGTGTATAGAACGCACAGCTATTTCTAGCCTCCAACATTATTTTCTTCCATCTTCTTCCTGTCAATTCTAGGCTAATTCACACATATATTCCTTTATTTTTATTTCACTTATTAAAAGGATTGTTAACCAGCTGATAACCAGAATTCTCTAAGCATCATCCAAGATAATGAGAACATAAAATACTAACCATAAGAGACTGCATGCCATAGAGGACCAGCAGCAAAAGCCCTTCCTGGTGCCAGCCATAGTGTGAAGCTCTCCCAAGGCTACTTATTTCTTTCCCACTTTCTTGGCTCTGTGGGCCTTCCAAATCCTGTCTTTCCATTCTTCTTCTTGAAGAATACATCACCTGCCTCCCAGCTAAGCCTATATTCCACCCCCTGGATGCCTTTGCTTTAATGGTCAAAGTTTAATCTGTTCCCCCCTCCCTTTTTTTCCTCCAGTGATTGGAATGTTTGCAAATATTTAGGGTGAAGACAGACATAACATTTTTAGGGCAGCAAGCCTGCTCTGGAAATAATCTTGGTATGTTCAATGAAAGCATACATTTTTGCTCCAGGCCCTGCATTCTGTGATACTTTATTAAAAAAAAGAAAACTAAAAAACCCAGCCTCCTAATTTTACAGTGGTTTGAAGCAAAAGCCAGGTGTGCAGGATACTGACACCCTAGTC